TGGGGCAGTCGTTCGGGGTTTAAGGTGGATTATCACTTGCAGTGTAATCAATTAGGGGATTCTGACTCCTGGGGCAAGGTCCCACTTGCACGGATTACGAGATTCTGGCCGTTGATCTTTGCTATCTACGGTCAATATCGCTTAATTCGTGTAAGTGGGACCTAGCCCCTGATGAGTCAGTCGGTGAAACTCCGACGAAACAGTTTGTCACAGCCCCTCCCTCGTTTGTTGTCCTCTTCTCCCTCCCTCTCAGCCTACGGTTTACCGGGCAGTTCTGTTTGTGACGATATATATATATATATTCACAAACAGAACTGCCGGTAAACCGTAGGCAGAGAGGGAGAAGAGGACAGCAAACGAGGGGCTGTGACAAACTCTTTCGTCGGAGTTTCACCGACATAATGAAATTTTGACCAAGCAGTCTGCCACAGCCCCTTTTTTGTTGTCCGGATACATATATATATATATATAGACACATAAAATTTAAACAGATAAATCCCTGTCAGCGCCGGCGGCTATCTTTTTCCCCCGAACACAACGCACCCTCATAACCAATGTATGCAAGCTATTTCTCCGGTCAGGTGCCGCCAAAACGAGTGTGCATTGTGTTCGGGGCAAGAAGGTAGGTCATAGAAGATGGGCTGCATCCACTGCGGATGCATCAACTGATTACCCGTGCGTTCATTTATTATTAGCATTTCATGTTTTTTTTTTAATAGTTTCGCTACATTCTTCTTTCAATTCCACCCCTGACACAGGTTCCCTCGTCGGCCGTGGGTTCAAAATCCTCATTTGGCCTCATGTACATTCCTGTGCATGCTTCGCGCCCGCCGCCTACCTGGGAGCGATAGACCACTGGATCCCTCGATCGGCACTGAGCAGAGTCTCTGCTGATGTTCGCAGTGGTGGGGACCACCACCTGAGGGGAGGAGGCACAGGGATTGATCCTGTTGGCATGGTCCCCGACTCCCTGATGCTACCGCCTCTCCCCTGGCCGGTATCTGTCTCTTATACACATCTAGATGTGTATAAGAGACAGGTGTGTGTGTGTGTGTGTGTGTGTGTGTGTGTGTCTCCAAGCGTACGTGTTTGTGCACTTCGCCTTGCGTCTTTCTTTATTTCTGTAGGACTATCTAATACGTGCCAACATACGCATCCACCGAAACGACTTGTCCCGGCGGCCAGAGGATAGTTCAGAGAATTGAAAAAGAACACTCTTGTGTGTTGTGTGTATGTTGTGAGTGTGTGTGAGTCTGTGTGTGTTGTGAGTGTGTGTGTTGTGAGTGTGTGTGTGTTGTGACTGTTGTGACTGTTGTGACTGTTGTGACTGTGTGGTTGTGTGTGTGTGTGTGTGTGTGTGTGTGTGTGTGTGTGTTGTGAGTGTGTGTGTGCGTGTGTGTGTTGTGAGTGTGTGGTGGAAGGAGGGCAAGGGGGCGGTTGGTGTGCGTGAAAGGCAGCTGCAATGCAATGCACGTCCCATCGATCCACTGACATAGAATAAGAAGGCCGTCCGTCTACAGCCTCAGAAAGAGATTGCCGGTAGGTGAGGGGGGGACAGAACTCGCCCTGTTTCTTATACACAATTCAACTTGAAGTTGAATTCCCCGATCGAAATAAAGGGCCTCGCTCCACCACTCACCAGATGTGCAAAAGGAATATGAATCATCTGCTAGAACATAGGCGATGCACCGCCATAATTCTTTTGTTTTTTTTTCTGTATCTGGTCAGTGACTCAGTGGTGGAGCGATGCGCTTTTTCTTCACACCTGTGCAGCACGGCCCGCTCCTTGGCCCCAGCCACAGTTTTGTCGCCTACGAAGTCGACGATGCAGCGGCGATATCCGAGAGCATCATCGTTAATCCTCTTTCTTTTTTTTTTTACGTCGCTAATCCTAGACACTACAGTAAGACGTTAATGTATCCTTTCTTTCTTTCTTTCTTTCTTTCTTTCTTTTTTTTTTTCTTTTTTTTTTTTTAATGCATCCTTTCTTGTTGTCGTAGGTGGAGATTGCAATCGGATAAATGATAAATAAAATATGCCGGACAACGACGAAATGCTCACAGCTTTTGAAATGTTCACAGATTTTTGAAGCTGTAAGGGCGTACTCACACTAGCACTCTCTTGAATGTATCTGACCGCATTTACGGCCGCAGGTGGATGCATCTGGCCGCAGTTCCGACCCGAAATAAGTAAAAACGTCCTAGTGTGAGTGTGCCCTAAGGGAGAGTCGTCATCGTTGTTGGAACTGCTACGCGTGCAGAAAGCGAAGCACTTATGGTCGATAAGTGCTTGTCACTATACGCCAGCGGTACTCGAGAGACATAAACAATTCGTAGGTCGAAGCGGGAAAAAAGAGAGAGAGAGAGAGAGAGAGAGAGAGAGAGAGAGAGAGAGAGAGAGAGAGAGAGAGAGAGAGAGAGAGAGAGAGAGAGAGAGAGA